TTCTTTTAACCCTTTTGTGTGTAGCACCTACCAAGGTGCCTGATACGTAGTAGACACTTGATAATGCTAGTTAATTGATTGTATGTCATCAGTTCAATTTGATCCTATTCAAGCATTTATTTGGTACCTACCATGTTCCTGGCATTGTGCCAACATAGTATATTCCAACAATTTGGATATTGTCAATAAAGTTTCCAGAATTAGGCTCAACTCAGTTCAATTCAACAAGTATATACTAAGGGCCCTCTAGGGATAGATACAAACACAAAAATGGATCCATTCCTGCCCTCAACAAGCTTACATTCAACAGGAAGGAAACAGCAAATATAAAACATGTACAGCATAAAGCAAAATAATTTGGGGGAGGAGGGGAGAACATTAACAACTGGGAGACTGGAATGAAAGCAGTGACCTTTTTCTTGAGATCTAGGATGGGACTAATTTACCCTGGAAAACATTTCAGTGAAGGATGGAAACACTTGGTCTATGATTCTCTTAATGCCATAGGAGTTTGCTGGAATCGATTCTGCTTCATATAGCTGCAGAGCATCAGCCAATGCAGCTGCAGTGGTGCCTTCAAATGTCTCTCTCTGGCAGCCCAACCCTCTCTCCTTCTTTCCTTGATGCAGCAGGAAGCAGCTCTGGGTAATGTGAATAGCTCTGCCCAGCTGTCCAAAGGGAAAAGCACAGGAGGAACTGAAAGACAAGGGAAGACAGAAGAGCTTTCCCAGCCTGTAGGCTAGTGAGAGGTGCTCTGTGTGTGTGTGTGTGTGTGTGTGTGTGTGTGTGTGAGAGAGAGAGAGAGAGAGAGAGAGAGAGAGAGAGAGAGAGAGAGAGAGAGAGAGAGAGAATGTCCAACTATGGAAAACCACTGAGGTAATTTGATCTCATTAGCTCCCATGGATTTAATTATCATCCTTATACAGATGGCTCCCAGTTCTGTATGTACAGCCCTAAATCTCTCCTGTGAATTTCAGTTCTGCCTGAAGAATATCTCCCCCATAGGCCTCTTGACTCAAGATGTGCACAACAGACATCATCTTCCCTCTAGATCAGGGGTTTGGAAACTTTTTTTTTTTGTCCTGGACCACTTAAGGAGGGAAACACATTAGTGAGATACAAGGGGAGGTTGGTTCCACACCCTTATTAACTTGTTTTGTCTTTATATTCCTAGTCTTTAGTAAACAGTAGGTACTTAATAAACTCTTGTTGATTTGACTGGCTTGCCTTAAGTATTCTTGCCAACAATAAAACCATAACTGGGAATTTTTGCACCTGAGTCAAGAAACAGGAAAGATTGTCTCACTTGAGAGGTGGAGAGAGGCGAGACCTTGGCACTCAATCATGAGGAGAGCAGGGGGAGGGTTCACCATCCCTGATAACCAGATAGCTTTCTCTTTTCTCTTTTGGTGATACCATTCACCTTCTTCTTACCTCTGTGAATGTTCCTTTTCAGTCTCCTTTGCTGGAGCATCCTGACCCATGAGTCACTCCTAGGCCCCTTCTTCTTCTCTACCAGGCAGCAACATCCTCTCCTTTTGTGATCTCATTAGTTGCCATGAATTCCTTAAGCAGATGGCTCCCAACTCTGTACGTACAGTCCTAATCTGTCCTATGAATTTCAGTTCTTCCCAAAGGATACCTTCATCTGGATTCCCCATAGGCCTTTCCAGTCAAGATTTACACAACAGATCTCATCATTTTCTCTCTAGATCAGGGGTTTGGAAACTTTTTTTGCATCCTGAACCACTTAGGCAAACCAGGGAAGCCAATGGACCCTGTCTCAGAATCATGTTTGTTGCCTACATTCATAATGGAAACGCAAAATTTCAGAAAAAATGAGTGAAAATGAATATGTAATTTATTCCCCTATCCAAGTTCACAGGACCCCTGAAATCCATCTAGGAACCACAAGTTAAGAACCATACTCTAGATACACACCTCCTCCATACTTCCTTGTTTCTGTTAAGGGCAACACCATATTCAAGGCACCCAAGTTCACGACCTCAGTCATCCTCCACTCTTCATTCTCCTTCACCCACTCACACCTAAGCAGTTGGCAAATCTTGCTGACTTCCATGACATTTCTCACTTTACTCACATCACAGTCAGCTCAATTCAGACCTTCATCATCTCTCACCAAGACTTTACTATAGCTTCTTAATTGGCCTCCCTGCCTCCATTTCTTCCCTCTCCAATTCATTTTCCACACAGCTGTCAAATAATCTTCCTAAAGTACAGGTGTGATGTATCACTCTCCTGCTCAAGAAACTTCCTTGGCTCCTTATTGCCTCTAGGATAAATTACAAACTCCTCAGTTGGGTCTTTAAAAGCTTTCACAATCTGGCTCTAATCTGCTTCAATAAACAGTTGGGATTACTCCCCTTCCCCCCATCTACATTCCAGTCAAACTGGACTAACCACTATTCCCGTAACTTGGAATTCCAACATGTCTCGGCAGTGCCTTTGCATGAGCTGCTCCCTCATGCCTAGAATTCACTCCCTCCTCTCCTCTGCCTCTAAGAATCCCTATTTTCCTGCAGGACTCAGCCCTTGTGCTATCTGCTGCTGCAAGACTTTCCCAGTCCCCCTGCTTGTCAATGTTCCCTCCCTTCCTCCAGCAACAAACCCAACAACCAGCAACCAACATTTCTATAGCACTAGCTCTTTCAGGTGTTCAAAGCACTTTGTATATGCTATTTCATTTTATCCTTGTAACAACCCTATGAGGTAAATGCTATCCCCATTTTACAGTTGAGGAAACTGAAGTAGGCAGGTTGAGTGGTCACACAGCCAGTAAGTTGCAAGGAAGAATTAGAATTCAGGTTCTGACTCCAAGTCTAACACTCTATCCACTAGCCCACTCAGCTACCTAAATAACCATGTAACCTTCAATAACTATGTATTTACTTATCTTGCTGACATGTTGTATCCTCCCAGTAAATGAATTGTAAGTTTCTTAAAGGCGAGGACTGTTCTTTCTTTTGTTTTTGTATCCCCAGTGCCTAGAATGTAGTGGGTGCTTAGTAAATGCTGGTGGTTGATTTAGCTGGCTAGCTGTTCTTTCCAATGAAGCCTAGCTAGACCATGTCCCTGCCTGTCTGGACCAAGGACACATGCATCAGCATCCTCCTCCGTCCTCAGCCGCTCAATTAGGATGTATCATCCTGTCCATCTTGCTGTGAAATGTGTCCAAGCTCCCCTGTGGAACAGCTCCATGGCTCTGAGAATGGTTTGCAAAATTCCGTTTCCTTTTTTCCAAGCTGCTCTAGAGTAGAAAAGCTGAATGAGCCGCAGTCGAGGCTTTAGTAAAGTCAAGACAAACCTAGACACTACTATTGTCATCCCTCTACTACTCCCTTCACCTGCTGAATTTCTACTTGGCCATTAAAGTCCAATAGAAATGGTCCCTCCTCTAGAAAACCTTCCTTGATGTCTCCAAACAGTGTTGACCTTTCCTACCTGAGATGCTTTTTGAGTCCCTCTCAATGGATCATAGAAAGATGAGATTCGAAGCCAGAGAACCTAGGTTTGAACCCTGGCTTTGCCACTCCTACCCTGGGTAACCTGGGGCACAGTTTCCTCACTCAGATAATGATGGGGCTGGAGCTGATGGCCTGGGAGGCCACCTCTAGCTCTAAAGGCAGATTACGCGGATTGCTTAAGAGAGGATCTTTATCAGAAGGCTGACCAATAGTGTATGAATCTTCGTGGTCACAGTGACTCATTATGCCAGCTACCAAATATAGAGAATGTGGGTAGAAAGAGCCCCATGCCTCTGAGGCCATGGTTCCAACAGTCTCAAGGTCAAAGTTTGTAAAAATGACTGTTGGTTGAATGCTCTTTGATGGCTCAAATGTAAAGAAAAGCCTGGTCTGTGATTACAGGCAGCTAGGTGGTGCACTGACCTGGAGTCAGGAAGACCTGAGTCCAAACCTGGCCTCAGATCTTTACTAGCTGTGTGACCGTGGGCAAATAACTTCACATCTGTTTACCTCAGTTTCCTCAATTGTAAAATGGGGCTAATAATAGCTCCTACCTCCCAGCGTGGTTGTGAGGCTCAGGTGAGATAAGAGTTGAAAAGTGCCTGACACGTAATGCGTGCTACATAAATACTATTATTATTAATTTCTCATGTTGGTCATCATGTCTAGGAAGGGTTTTTTATCGCGTCGTTACTAGAGTATTTTCATTTCCGGTGAGAAATGAAAAAGGAGAGAATTAAAGGCACCCTTAGAAACAAAAGGCAGAGGGAGGGTCTTTAAAGATCCCCTTCTTGATTAAGTTCAAGCATTTGAAGGGCTGTCCTGTGGAGGAAAGGCATTGGCTGCTCCACCCCAGAGCTTCCACAAGGTGGAAGGTGCCAGGATGCAAACTTCAGGCTGACGTTAGGAGAAGCTTCCGAACAATGAGAGCTCTCCAAAAGTGCAATGGGTGCTTTGTGACCTAGGGGGTTCAAGTCCACTCAATTCTAGTCAAGTCAATTCAATGTAACTAAAAAAGCTTTTATTAAGTGCCTCTGTGCTGTTATCCCCTTATTAAGGGTCTTCCTACAAAGGCTGAATGGTTGCTTTTTGTTTGTTTTATGAGGCAATCAGGATTAAGTGACTTGCCCAGGGTCACACAGCTGATAAGTGTCAAGTATCTGAGGCTGGATTTGAACTCAGGTCTCCTGACTTGAGGGCCAGTGATCTCTCCACTGTGCCACCTAGCTGTCCCTTGAATAATCACTTGTTGAAGAGAGAAGAGATAGAGGAGGTTCTTATTCAAGCCTGAATTTGACTAGATGGTCACAGAGGTCCTTTCCAACCAGGAAACTTGGCGACTGGGGGAGGTTTCTGTCTTCTGTGGAGTAACTTTCACTGGTTCTAGGCATACCCTTTACACTCATTACAGACAATATTTTGAGCACACTCTCTTAAGAAGACTACTCAAAAGGGACATGTAATTTTCTGAAACAATTCTTGGCCTGGGAGCAGAGACTGCAGGCAACATCACTCTGGTTTTACAGTAACTTCGCTTTAATAGGTAACATTAAGCATGTACTAATATATCCAGGGAAGCAGATGAAGCAATATTAGATTCAGAAAAAGGCACAAACCTGTCCATTCTGAATCTTATCAGGATAAGAGTGATTTAGGGCTCCAGGAAAATAATGGCTGAGCCCTAGTAACTAATTAAACAAGGGACAATAGTGGGGAGCTCCATGCTAAGCAACCAATCCCAAAAAGACATTGAGAAAATTATAAAGCATCTGTTACTTTTCAATTTTCCCATAAAGAAAATCTGAACTTGTATGCATTCATTCTCTGAAGGAGTCACAGCTCCAAGAATGGAGGAGGGAATTCAGCAACTAACATCATCTCCCCAACACTTTGCTTCGTGTGTGTGTATGTGTGTGTGTGTGTGTGTGTGTGTGTGTGTGTGTGTGTGTGTGTGTAAATTTTAAAGCCAGGTTCTTTTTTTTCCCCTTTGAATCAGTCTTGTGAACCCCAGGCAATTCAGTTGGTCTATAGTAGGGGGGTCAAATGTCTAAGACATGTCCAGCAACACTCCCCAGTGTGACCTAAACTATATGAAACTGTAATTAGGAAATATTTAACACAATAAATAAAAACACAATAAAACATAGTTAATTAGTGACTTTCTACATCAAAGAGCAGCCCACAGGGATCCTCATGTATGACTGAGTGGCTGTTTCTAGTTGAGTTTGACACCTCTGCTCTGTGCAGGCAGGGCTCCATGATTTCATGATATAAAGGTCTGGTCTCTTTTACACACAGAGAAAACGCTCAGACATCGTGGCAGCAGATACAGTGAAAAGCACACAGGACCTACCGCCCAAAGTACTCTGTATGAACCCTACCGCTGCTTCTTTACTAGCTGTGATGCTGAACAAGTGACTTTGCTTCTGCCAGCCTCAGTTTCTTCACTTGTAAAATGGGAGTAGGTTGGGGTGGGTGTGATGATTTCTAAGATCTCTTCCAGCTCTGCCATTCTATATTCAACTTAAGAAAACTTTATTAAACATATCTATGTGCAAAGCACGGAAAGGTTCAAAGAAAAAAAAAACAGTTCCTGCCCTCAAAGAGATTACATTTTAATGGGGGAGATGGAATGTGTATCATAGATAGGTGAATACAAAATTTTTTGAAGAAAGAGAGAAGACTGGAGGAATCAGGAAAGGCTTCATGGAGGCAGCAATGTAAGCTGAGCCTTAAGGGAAGCTAGAAGAGATTCCAAGAGGTAGAGGTAGAGATATACATTAAAAAGAGAGAATACATTCCAAGTGTGGGGACAGCTGTGCAAAGGCATGGAGATGAGATGTTTTATGTGTGAGCAAACAAGAGGGGATGGTGATTGCATTCATGTATAAATGTACATTTGGTTAACATTTGTACTGAGGAAAAAGAGATACAGACTGAAGCTCTTCCAGAAGGTTTACATTTTTCACAAAGCACTTTGTCCAGGAGTTAATTGTTTCTTATCTATAACCCCCAGAAGATGTCTGGTCTGCCTTCATGCCCTCGGTGTGAGGGAGAGCTTCCACGTTTAGATGATCAGTTCTTCCTCTGTTAGTTCTTGCTCCACATTCTCATCTTCTGAGGGGCTGAAATTGTAGAAATCCTCCTCATCTATTGGCTCAGTTTCCATTTCAGGTAAGGAGCCACTGCCAGAGCCTGAGCCGGAGCCGGAGCCAGAGCCGGAGCCGGAGCCGGAGCCAGAGCCGGAGCTGGAGCTGGAGATAGACCAAGGATCTTCCTCAGAGAAAAGAGACTTTTCAGCCATGTCCTGTGGTCTCTTCATTCTGAAGAAGAATAGAAATGAAAGTCAGGCTTCCTGTACCATGAAGAACACCGGGCAAGACTGTTTGCTCAAGACCAGCAACAGAACAGGGAGGAAGCTGGTTATTTGCATTACTGTTTGAGGCTAAAGCCTAGATTAGCAATGGGGTTGCTCTGCTTCTCAGGATCACAATATTTCAAAGGGGAAAGACCTCAGGTGGCTTCTAGTCCAACCCACGACCGAATAAAAATCTTTACAACAGAATATGATGTTACTTTACAGACAGGCTGCCTTGGGGGTGGGTAGCAGACTGTTTTTGAGCAAAGGTTGCATGACCACGCGTCCAATATGATACAACAATCCATCCATCAGTCAACGTGCATTAAGCACTTACGTGGCAAACATTGCTAGACACTGGGGCTACAAATACAAAAGGGAAATAGTTATTGCCCTTGAGGAGTTTACAATCTAGTTGGAGGAGACGTGTATATATGCATATGTGTGTGTGTGTGGATAGATAGATGATAAAGAGATATAGAGAGATGATAGATATAGATGGATGGATGGATAGATAGATAGATAGATAGATAGATAGATAGATAGATATGAAAATGGAGGCCATTCACCAAGAACTCCCTCTTCTCCCCTAGTCATCTCACACCCTTCAGATACCTTCTGCCACTCCGTCCTTCTTCACTCTGGTCTCTTTGCCCAGAGGCCATTCTTTCACTCTTGATTCCATTCTATCCTGTCTTCTCCAGTAAATTGTTCCCCCTATCATCCCTACTCTCTAATCTTCAATTTCTCCCTTTTGCCTGCTTCCCAACTGCCTACAAATACATCTACTTCTCTTCCACCCTTAAAAAAATCCTCACTATACGCGTCTGTCTCCAGTAGCTATCAGCCTTTATCTGCCCTCCCCAAACTCCTTGAGAATGCTGTCTATAACCCACACTTCCACTTCCTTTCCTCTTTTTCTTCTCAATTCTCTACCATCTGGCTTCATTCAGTTCTCTCCAAAGTTACCAATGATCTCTTATTCTTCTTGACCTTCCTGCAGCCTTTGACTCTGTTGATCACCCTCCTCTTGACATTCTCATTTCTCTAGGATTTCATGACACTGCTCTCTCCTGGTTCTGACTTCTTCTCAGTCTCCTCAGCTGGATCTTTATTTGAAACACACCCACTTACTGGAAGTGTCCCCTCTGCCCTGGACCCTTTTCTCTTCTCTCTCTATCCAGGGGTTCTTAATCTAGAATCTAAACAATCTAGGTTAGGCAATGGGGTTAAGTGACTTGCCCAGGGTCACACAGCTAGTAAGTGTTATGTGTCTGAGGCCACATTTGAACTCAGGTCCTTCTGACTTAAGGGCCAGTGCTGTATCCACTGAGCCACCTAGCTGCCCCAATATATTTAAATATAATCAGTTTTCTTCATGATTCTATGCATTTTATTTTATACATTAAAATATTCTGAGAAAGGGGCCGTAGCTTTCACCAGACTGACAAACGGGTCCATGACAAAAAAAAAAAAAGGTTAAGAGCCCCTGACTTAGAGAGCTTTCTGGAGATACCAAGAGGTTAAGTAACCACCCCAGCATCACACAGCTAGTAGTTGTCCGAGTTGGGACTTGAATCCAGGTCACCCTGGTCCTGAGTCAACCCTCTATTTACTACACCAACCAGACTGCTGACTGCCTCTCTGTCTCCCCTCCCATATGTACACACATACATACACACACATATAATATGCATATGCCACATATACATAGACACACATACACAGGTACATATATGCATACAGCCAAACAGATATTTCTGTCTGGACCTGTAATTTCATCAGTGAGGGGAACTCCCTGGTACAAAAACTCTCTTTGCCGATGCAGAATAGCAACTCATCTGTAAATCACGGCATAGTCTTGGGAAGTTGCCCAGGCACACCAAGAGGTCATGTAAGCTGTCTGTGTTCACATTGCTAATGCAAGTTAGTGCTAGAACTTGAGTTCCCAACAGTAAGGGGAGTCCTCCAGCTACTATACCAGGCTGCTTCTCCATATAGACAAATGTACTGTAAATAGCTTGGAGTATATCTGTAAAATGGAGATAATGATAGCGGGCTTACTTGCCTCACAGGATTGTGGGCAAAGCATTCTGTGAATTATCAACTGCCAGAGAAACAGGAGCTGCTATTATTATTGTTGTTATCTTTATTTCCCCTCCTAACACTGTGCCCAACTTTCCTGACTTCAGAATCACGTGCCATGCCTTCACTCCCCTTTCTGAGTTGTCCTCCCCCACTAGATTGTAAGCTCATTAAGCGCAGCATTGTCTTGCGTTCTGCATGCATTTGTATTCCTTACCTTAGCACAGTGCCTGGCACCTAGTAAATGCATAGTAAATGCTTGTTTCTCCTTTTCCCCTTCTATTATTATTCCCCTTCTACTACATTGTTGTTGTCATTTTGTTCCTTACTTTATCGTTTTTGTCGACTGTTACAAAATTTGTAATAAAAAACTTAAATAGTTTTTGAAACATAGAGCATTTGCCAGAACATGACAGTCTATCTGTTGACTCCCTCTCTGTATAGTGTCTGGAAGGAGGTAGCTTGGTTTACTTACAGATATGGATCCGCTGGAGGATTGGCGGCCCCACTGTCTTCCCCTTTAGGCACGTTGAACCATGGCCCCTTTTCTTCAATGCAGTTGGCAGAAAGGCTATCTGGGCGACATCGAACCCTGTGGAATCGTGCCCTCCGGGCAGGAAAACCTGAGCAAATGAAGTGTTCACACATAATTAGGGGCATCTGAATGAATCCTTCGACTTCTCACCGTCCTTGAGGCAATCTATGGATTTCTTTCTTAGCATCCATCTACTGGAATATTGCAGAGGCAGGTTTATACAGATGATTTCACAGATGATTAAAATCAAGGGCTAGGACATTAAAAGAAAATCCCAGGGAGGTAACCGTAACCATTTCCATCTTTCCACGGATTTGTGATCTCATTAATGTGGGTATTCTCTTCGGTGTTGCAGATAACAACCCCTCCATGCCTGCCCATCCTCTGTGACTCCTGCCCATTCCCACAAGAGAATTTAACCACCTGGAGACTTTCCTCTTCCATCTCTTAACATTGCATACCATTGGACATTAAATACCAAATAGACTGTGAGTCTAGACACCAGGTATCCCTTGCTCTCACTATAAGACAGGTCCGTCTAGTCATATAATTTCCATCATATTTAGAATGTAAACACTTTCAGAGCGGGGGTTGTTTCATTGTCTGTATTTGTATCCCCCTTATCTCATCCAGTACCTAGGTGCTCTCGCTCTCCTCTGCTCAATCAGGGTTAAGTGACTTGCCCAGGGTCACACAGATAGTAAGTATCTGATACCAAATTTGAACTCAAATCCCCTCCAGTCTCTGGGGTCAGTGCTCTACCCACTGTGCTACCTAGCTGCCCCAACAAGTCTCCTTTTTTAAAACGGGTTGTGTCCAAACTCTCTACATACTGAAAATAAGCTAAACTGTTACCATTGATGTTTTAAGACTATATTTTACTGGAACAACGGGCAAATGAGAGACAGTAGCTTTGTGGCAGAATTCTCTGCATGTTCAAGAACTAATCTTGTTTTATTTTTTAGCATTGCAACTATGGCATAGTTACAACTTGTGTTCATCACATTTAAAATTTGGAGAGGACATGCTTGATGGGTAGAGTGCCTTCAATGTACTGTTTCTTTTTTGCTTTAACTTTTAAATCAGTTTGCTATAGACTTCATATGTATTTTGTTAAATACGGTTCCCAGTGACTTACTTACAGCTCTCATTTGCCAATTGTAAGTGTTGGGGTCTAATTCTGAAAGGCCTCATTTAAAAGTCAGACAACATATTTATGTGTTGTCTTGAAAGTGTTCTACTTTATAGTTAAAAATGTTTCATTTGCACATTTTTTTAAATTATTTGTGATCATGTTGTCTTTCAATACAGGCAATAAAGCTTCTACTCTGGAACAAAACAGCTACTTTTTAAAAGCAAGAATTGCTTCTTTACCTTTCATTTCTTTGGTAAATGAAGCATTTCTTTAAGAAAGGTCACTTCAAAATGTTGTCTTTTTTTTTTTGACTGAAGCAACTGGGGTGAAGTGACTTGCCCAGAGTCACACAGCTAGCAAGTATTATGTATCTGAGGCCTTTGAACTCAGTTCCTCCTGACTCCAGGGCCAGCGCTCTACCCACTGCACCACCTAGCTGCCCAGAGTGTTGTCTATTATATAAAACAGTTGACATTCACTTGTTGTGAAGATTGTTCTGCTGCACGTAAAGCGGACTGTGAAGATTTCTGTATGTTTTAAGATGCATCATTAGATAATAACGTTTTTTGTGAACAGAGGAAAAAATAAATGCTTAATGACAGTGAGAACGCTGAGGCTAATGCAACTCGATTCCTCAGTCACTGCACAAGGAGCTCCCATACCCTAAAAACTGGGTGATCCTTTGCATTCTCTGCCTCCTTTCTCCACCCCCCCAACACCATCACTGCAGGATCAGAAGGAAGGCATACAGGACCAACAGCCCTTTGGTGTTTTTACTGCTGTGGCAAGGGTTGCCCTGACTAAAGTGTCTAGACACCAGAGGGCCAGTCCATTGGTGATAAGCCTTACTCCACTCAGCTAGGCTGGCTCTCAGCACAGGAGCTCTGTCTGTTGCGAGCTCTAGGTGCCATGGCACAGTCTGCCAGAACTTGCCCTCTGCTGGCACAGCCTTTGAGAGTGCAGGATCTTAAGACGTGACATCAGAGTAAAATGTGATGGGCTCTTTCTTCATCCTCTCAACTACTAGTACTTCTCCCCTCCCCCCAAATCATCTTGTACAGATTTTGTCTTTTTCTAAATATGTACATGTTGTCTCCCCCACAGAATGGCAGTTCCTTAAGGCTTTTGGGTTTTGTCTTTGAAATTCTAGTACCTAACACATTTCCTGGCACATAGGAGGCCCTTAATCAATGCTGGTTGACTGACTGATTATAAGGTAAGGTGACCGATCAGAGACATTATCTGAGCACTTACATCATGGGGGTATGGAAGTACATTTTTCTCTCCCCCCCACTCATCCCCTTGAGCCTTACTCCTTCCTTCTGCACTGTCACTTTTTTAGGGTCTTCACCACAAGTCCCAGGGATCCTGAGATCCCATAGGAAGCCAAGAGAGCCGGGATAGAAATGGATAGATACTTAGTCTCCAACCTGTAGTACAGTGCCACAGGCAGGAACGCTTCTTAACTTGAACCCCAGGAAAAGTGGGGTGGCTTACCCACATGCCTTAAGAGAGTGGACATGATAATCCTCCCAGGACTGGTGAACCCCTTCAGGGATCTTCCTGGAACTCACACCCATCACATTCTCCAGCAGAGGGAGACATCCATCATCTTCCTCACCCTATGCTTGCTTAGAAAAACCAGAGAACAGTGGCGGATATAGAGCCCTAGCCGAAGCAATGTCGGTTATAACAGGAAGTGGAAAGGAAAGCCAATACCGACCTTTCCATGATGTAAACTTCACTGGGGGTATTTTTCATCAAGTAAAACAAAATATTGCCAGCAACAAAAACTTTCTGGCTCATGGGCCACAACACAGTGACTGACTGATTAAGAGTTGACCTTTGCACAGAGCTTAAAAATTGTCCAAAGCCCTTAATGCACATCTCATTGGAACCTTCAGCATAAGTACTATTATCCCCAGCAGACGAAAACCCAGGCTCAGAGAGGGTAGGCAAATTGTCTGGGACCACACAGCTAGTAAACATGAGAAGGCAGAATTTGAACTCAGGTCCTCTTGATTCCAAATCCTGCACTCCACTCACTACTACATACTGCCTTAAAATGAGATGATCCAAGGAAATCATTTTGTAAATTTTTTAAATTGATATCTTTTCTTTCTACATCAACTTTATTTTTAAAAAAATATATTCCCTTTCCCTTACCTGGTGAGCTATCCCTGGTAACATAAAAAGGAGGAAAAATCCCAATTCATCACAACTAACATATCAGTTGAGTCTGACAGTATGTACAATGTTTCATACCCATAGTCCCCCACCTCTGCAAAGAAAGAAGGAAGGTGCATTTTCTCATCTCTTCGTCAGAGCCGAAGTAAATGTTTAGTTACTATTTATGAATGTCAATTATTATTATAAACAGTGAGGAGCAGGTGGAGGAAATATCGAAGTGAAATAGCTACTCATCCTCCTCACCACTTTGGGGGCTGTCGTACACCCCCAGAATTCAAATGTCTCTGTTATGAGGAATCATAAAGAGAAAGGTGGAAACCACCTACTCACATGAGAGTGATTGCCTAATGGGAGCCTGATACTTTCTTTAGAATAAGAAATCTATTTTCCCCCTAAGTCTACTAGATGGTAGAATTCCCCCCCCCAAGATTGACATTAACAGGCACAAAACTGAAGATGTCTTTGCTGGGGGGTGGGGCCTGAGGAGAGGAGAGAGATTGAACAAAGGCTGCTTTCCCCTCAGCGTGGGAGTAGCCTCATTCCATCCTGCCCCGGCTGAGAAAGGCTCCTGCTTCTGGACATCATCCAAGAAACTGAGGACTATTTGTTTTAGTGTCTGGACGTTACACCTTCCTAAGGAGTCTCACTTAAAGGTCTCAGGGGCCCAGTTGGGTTTGAAGTTGCACTGAGAGGGTGAGGGGAAAGGGGAAAGTAAACACGACTAGAGAGTAAACTGGAGGGCATGGGATGAGTCTTATTAAATTCTACGAACATTAATTAAACACTTCCTATGTTCAAGGTCCTGAACTATAAGCTGGGGATAAAAAGAAAAAACACGATTCTTGCCCTCAAGGAGTTTCCATTTTTCTGGGAGGATACACCTACATTACACAGTATAAGGGATTACAAACTATATACAAAGTAACACAAGGTAATCTCAAGAGAGAAGGAGAGAGCACGATTTGGAGCCTATAGAAATGGTCCGAGTAGGAGGTTTGAGCCATGCTATTAAAAGAAGTAGTCAGTTTGATATACAAAGCAAGTGGAGTGGATCAGGGGAGACTCGGGGAACTTCTTCAACTTATCAGGGACTCCCCAGATGCTTAAAAAATATCTAGCCGTTCCTTCCCAGTGACTCTTCTCCCCTATCCTTTGTAACAAAGCCCAGCTAAGCAAAACAAATGACCACAGAGATCATGTCTAAAGACTGTAGGCTTCACTCCCATCACCTCTTGAGGAGGCAGGCTTCGTATTCAGTCTGCTGCAGTCTTTCTTATCACCTGGGCTTTGAAGGAAACTAGGGAAATGGGGCGAAGGAGGAAGCAGCTTCCAGATACGAAGTGTCACTTGTACAAATGGAAAGAGGTGGAGATGAAATGTCACACACAGAGACCTATTATTATTTTTGTTGCTGTCGTTAATAGATTTTTCAGGGGCTAAAGTAAGGCGTTGCACTAAGTAGGTTCTCTAAGCACGACTGAGAAACTGAATGAAAAGATTTAGGGGTTTTACTTTCAAAAAGGGAATCCTGTTTTCCCCTCCTTTGCTCATATACACATAAGCAGATGTGGCCCAAGCAAATTTATTCTGTTGCTGTCTCAGCATTTTTCCCACCCTGGGCTAGCAATGCTTCAGAAGTCTGCAAGACCAGAGGTCACTTGACTTATTACTCTGTCAATTTTATTGAGGTGGCTTCCCCCAGGATACTTTAGTGAGCACAAAAAAAAATGTCCAGCCTGCTCTCTACTTCCCCATCACGGTAC